ATAACTGCTTGACGTTCGTTTATTATTTAAATTCTAAATTTCAGTTTTTTCAACCAATTCTGAAGATTTTTGTCACGGCAGCTCACGTTATGGCCGGAAGTATTCAATTTATTCCTTATGATTTCAGTTGTAGGAAAGTCATTGCTCTTGTAACAGTCGTATATTATTTTTCTCGATTATTTTATCAGATGAACATCTACATCTAGGTTTTGGTAATCCCGTATCACATCGCGTCTTGCGTTTAAAAGGTGTGTTGAGAAAGGAATTTTGGTCAAATCTGATGTTGCTTGTAATAGTTTGTTTCCCTCGAAACCAAACTTGAGATTCTTATAGATATAGATTCTTATATACATTGAAATATACTCTCTGTGTTTCAATATTCAAATGCATCCGAATCTTATTCATTGGTATATCTTTTTCCCATTGTTCACCATCGTTTTTGGAATTACTACACAGAAAAAAGTCTGCGTTGTTATCACACTGGTTATTACTATTAGTACTTGTCCAAGGACGCCACATTTTGAACAGATAACAAAAATTTGAAGTAATTATAACTGCACCAATATCGAATTTCAACTCTCAAATCGTGATCAGTTCCTGAACTGAACATTGACAACATAAGGAGTATAAACATTCCCGCATTCTATTCGTCACCGTAACATGACTTCAAATTCAATTCTATGATTCTTCAGCCAATCGTAAAACTCGTTTGGTGAAAATTATCCAATACGACCGGCTAATTCTTCAGTCCACGTGGACTACTTGGCAGCGGAATCATTTCTTTGTATTGGTTTTTTTGGCCTTTGAGGACGCCGACACCTTTATCTATTCACAATACCAGTTACTTCGACTATACCAATTCACCACTCCTATTATGAGCATACTTTCTTTCAGCAATCCAAATTCAAGTGATTGGCAAACACCAATGATATATTTATGAATGTATCTGTTGACGAGGAGAAACCGTAAAAGATCTCAAACGTCTTTCATTAGTTCGGACTTCCATTGTCTAATATGATATAAATTGATTTGAAATCCCTCCACTAGTGAGGTAACTTGGCTTGAAATCTTTTGATTCTCAATTTTTCATTTCTTTTTAATACTGTTTAATTTTCATCTTGTGTAGTTCAATTTTTTTATTGTTGCTTGTATTTTATTTCATTGCAATTTCGTTTTTTTTTGCTTAATATGATTGTTATTTTTCAGCGAATCTTTTTGATTTTTGATAGATTCTTTCAGATATTTCAAATCAATTTATATTATATCAGACAATGGTAGTCTGAACTGATGAAATGCAACACGAAACATTATCAATCACCTTCCAACAAACATCCCAATGTCGTTGACCTTTTTGACTATACTCTGCACTCTAGTTTTGGTTGGTTTTAGAATGGCATTGTGTCGATAAATCACACATACATTTAGCGAAATATTATGTTATTACCGATTTAGGTAATTGTGTTACTTATTGCATGTGTTTAATAGGAACAACCCTTAACGAGTTTTGTATGATTTATTACTTGATTTGGTATCCTGATCCATCATATAAGATTTATAACTATAATTATGTATTTCACATATCCTAAGATGTTCTTATCTGTTATAGATAACATATTGTTCACGGTTCGAAACCGACATTGTTTACGTTTTTATCTCATTTTCTATATATTTTCAAAAACTACATTCCTTTTGTAATTCAGTAGTTGATTGTTAAGACCTAGCTAGCCACGAAGAGGTCTTTCCCGTTTGGAAATAGCCGCTCGTTTCCAAGTGAGCTAATTAATCTATGTCCTCGCTCCGAAGTTCGATTGCATTCTTCAATCTTCACTACAGTAACACCTCCGGTACTGTCGAGAAAGAATGTAAGAAACCTTTGATGGCGTTTACCCTGGTGCGACAGTTGTTTTGTATAGTTTTCGACTATTTCTTTATACTTGTAGATGTACCAAGAAAGGGTTCCGATTCATGGAATCCAAGTTATACCCAGTCTATTGCAGAGCTCATCAATAGAATGAGAAGTGGCCCTGAAGAAATAAATCTAGGAACATTCCATGATGTGAAAAATGAATTTCTAAACTAACTCCATTACTGTCAGAAAGTGAATGATGGTTGATTATGAGGAAGTGAATGATGGATAAACTGAAATGAAAACGAATATAGAGCTTTCATTCACTCACAAACAGATGAAACGATTGCCAAAAAAGAAGAAGTATCGGATATATAATTGACCTATCTCTTAAACGAATATATCACAAGTCTTCCACTCCTTTAAAAAATTTGATAACGCCTTCCCGATTGGAAATGTTTCTTGCTCCTTCAATAAAGAAGGAACTAGTTTGAGTTCAACTCAAGAATTTTGTATTGTTCAGGATCAAATGATAGCTTTGATTCCGTTTTGTTCTTGTTTCATTCAAATATTGTCGTAAATCTTTATTCATATTGTTTTGTTATGGTCTCATATTGTTTTGTTATGGTCTCATAGTGTCTACAATATGCAGGGCATTTCAAATGAAACACTATAAAAATATCAAATGTGATATACCCTTGGATTGTGAATTTATCGCTTCATCAATATCTGTAATGAAAAAGACAGGTCCGTATTCAAAAAAAAAGTTGATGATGGCCATGAAACACGAAACGTTTTATCGAATATTCATTGTCACATCGTCATAGTACACTTCAAATAAAATAACATTTTATTTTTCCATTTTTTTATATCGTCCTAAATAACAATTTCATTCGAAAAAAACGAAAAACAGCATTTTTGTCCCTGTAAATTTTCTTCGACCATTCTATTGTTCCCGATAACAGTTACCTTTTTTCCCATTTAATCGTATTCGTATCTGTTGTGGTTTGGAATATAGCAATGCTACCACATGATGAAAGAAACGGCCCGTATAAGATGAACAGTAAGGGACCTTGAGGTACTCCAGAAGGGCAAGGAAACGATCTGGATTCAAATCCATTTATTGTTACTTTTTGTTCATGATTTATTACAGACAACTGAATTCACTTTGATGAGTTTTCGCTTACCCCCACTTCAGTTAGTTTGTTCATTAGGGTAGGGTGATCTATTCTATCGAACGCTTTACTGAAATCGGTTATATCAAATCAATCTGTATACCACTTCCACATTTTTTCTTATGTACTCAGAATAAACAGTCGAATTGGTTTCTATGGATCTTTTTAGGAAGAATCCATGTTGTTGTTCAATGAGAACATTTTTTGCTCCATATAATGAAAGATCATAAATAATTTTTTCCAATATTTCACCAAATACAGATAGCTTGCTGATGGGCCTACAGTTTTTTACATTCGATTTGTCACCTGATTTGTGGATAGGGGCGACATGAGCTATTTTCCACAATTAAAATAATATAGATGCAAGTGATAGATCATAAATAATTGTAAGGGGTTTGCTTGGGTACAACGCGCATTTTTTATAAATGAAGGTGGAATATTATCTGATCCAGGACATTTAGTAATGTCTAGTGTATTGATTAACGAAAAAACAGATTTTAAACAGATTTTAAACAGATTAAATTAAGTACTTGGTTTTGGGTAGCTTTTGTAAATTGTGTGAGAATATAAGATAAGGATGATGTAAGAGTTTTTGGTTAAGTATACACGGATTCAAAAAAATCTGCAAATAAATTACACGTATTACTGCCGTTGTTGGCAGATAAGAATTTTCAAAACGTTGTGTTATTGCTTGGTATTTCGGATTCAATTATATCTATGTAGTCACATTAATCCTGCCGTATCAAATCTTTTGCGCGTTTTCTCAAATCTTTATAACGATTATAGTCATATTGGTGCCGTTGTTGGCAGAGGAGTTGTAAATGACCTCATTGGGAACACACACAGTTGTTTTCCTTTTGTTAGATAAGAATTTCCAAAACGTTTTGTTGTTGTTTGGCATTCAGATTCAATTATATTTATGTAGTCACAGTAATCCTGCCGTATCAAATCTTTTGCACGTTTTCTCAAATCTTTAAAACGGTTATAGTCATAATTTTTTTCTGTAGTATTTTTCTGTTTTATTATTTTAATAGTTTCTCTTTTGGAATATGTAGGGAATCTGCTGCCAGGTCTTCTAGTCGGAATATTTCCATCAATCATTTTATTCAATTCCCTGTAGAATACAGGAACTGCATCATCAACCCCTAAGTTATGAAATCGGTAATACTCAACAGTTCATGTATTTTGTCAAAATCTGCTTTCTTGAAGTTCTTGACAGATTCAAGTGATTTTCTCAATGGTTTAAGCCTATTTAGTGAAGGGTGGTGCTGAGAGTCATCTGGCACCAATAGGTCATCGGAATGTTCAACGGATTTAATGTAATTTTCGTTTGATAACACAAGATCTAACAGTTTCTTGTTTCTTATCATCAACTCATGCATTGAATTGCATGAGTTGATGATAAGAGAAAGAGTGTATCAGTTCAACATATTTCTGTTCAACATCCCGAGGCTCCAAGTATAATTCATTTTTTTAGGTATCTATTTTATACCAGATATGTTGACATCTCTTGAAATAATAAAAATATTATTTTACAATCACAATTCAGAGGCATGTAACTTTACCTATACCACTATCGCTTTATCAATATCCGTAATGGGAAAAAAAGTTGATGGTGTCCGTGTTGACACGACACGTGAAATCAAAAGTTTATCATTCACATTAGAATTGGGAAAAATTATTGATTCACCATATATTCAGGGTGCTTTTGGAATAATAATATTATTTTCCACTTCGAAAATAGAATAGATAGGTGGTTGGATTTATCTAAAATCAGTAGGTATATCGTTATTTCATTTCCGAATCTCAAATCGCTGTATTTATCAAATAGTGTCTAACTAAGCCGTCGTTGTTGTTGAATATAACCTAGTATGGTTGCAACTATTATGCATTTCCAAAAATAGCTAAAACAAAAACTCTGGGATCCTAGAGAGCTCAACAAAATATTGTCATAACCCAAAACTAATACTTTTTTACAGATTCTCTAGAAAGTGGAATGTATCTAATAAAACCAAATGAAGCATCCGAGCCATTTAGAGTTTTATGTGACTTGAAATTGAATGGAGGCGGCTGGACTTATATTCAGAGACGATTTGATGGTTCACAAGACTTTGATTTGGGTTGGCGTGACTATAAGTTTGGATTCGGAACTTTATTAGGAGAGTTTTGGATTGGACTTGAAAATATACATGCACTAACAGGTTTGTTTATGTTCTTATCAACGTTCGTGGTACCAAGGTACGTAACGGAAGAACAGTGAGAAACTCACTAATCATTGAATTTTAAGAAGTTACGATATCATTGAACGCATTCTATACACTTGTTGCTATATAGTTATATCCATGCTTTTCATGTATTAGATGCTCACTAATTTGGACAGTAGTTTTGAGATTCCGCATTAGCGCGTCAACCCATTAACGACCAGTTCGACAGCTCAATTTGTAAGCAAGAAGATGTAGAGTTAGAGATATGCCAACACTGTTTGTGAAACATGCGTGATGTGATTCACCCATTCATTATTGCTGAATAATATTTGAGGCGTTGATATACATGCAAACTTGGAGAATGGATGTTTTCCCTACATAAATCTAATAAAGTTTACAGGTACTATAGACACAAAGATGTAGATGTAGATATGAAACGTATGCCTGATCCATGTGTATATTGCTTCCGTGATGTATTTTCAGTTACTCACAGCCAAAAAACTACAATCTCAAGCATTTGATATTCATTAGATTTATTCTATCTATTCTGAATATGTTTTGTCCTCGAAACACAATATTTTAGTGATGAACATATGATAAAAAAATATCCACTATGCTGACAGCTACTCCAAACAGAGGCGCTATTTTCTGACTACTGTTATTGTAGGATTCCAATGAAATATTATCTAGTTCGTGATATGAAAATAATGAAATGCATAATGTTTTTTCACCACATCCGTGAATTTTTTATATTATATTTGTCGAAAATTTGATGGATGTAGCCGTTACTACGTGTTATGAGATCATAATGAAAAGAGAAATGAAAATTTCCATGTTTTTCACCACTTTTAATAGTAACTAACGTTACTGCAGTTTTGTCCTATATGGACATTTTCAAACTAATATAATAATACAATAATACAAATAATACAAGAGTTTATTGTATTAGTTTGAGAATGTCCATATAGGAGGAAACTGCAGTAACGTTAGTTACAATTAAAAGTGGTAAAAAACACAGAAATTTTCATTTCTCTTTTCATGTCGAAAATTTGTTGAATTGGTATTTATTTCAGTATTTCGAATATGTTTGTGCTACTTATACAAGAAGTGGCAGCACTGTATGGAATGGTTGTGATGTTTACTCCCAAATACAGTCAAAAAATTGTGAAATTGAGCGCGAGATAAATCTGGAAACGTGCACCGAATGAAAATACGGCTGCTGATATAGTCAGTTAGTTGAAGTTCCGTCACCAAATGTTGAATCACCTCCCAATTGTGACAACTCCACCCAACAAATTAACCTTTGTACCTCAGAAATCGGTTTCAAATACACCAAGTGAATCGTATTGTTGCCAAATTGTAACAGATAGCAAGAATTTTGAGAAAGTTCACTTTGTGATTTATAAACCAAATAATTATATCTGCAACTATGAACGATTCCACAAATCTATCGGCAGAGCATCTCCAGTTATATAATTTACTACTGAAGGCGAATCAGGACCAAACCAATTAGATCAAAGACGAATTTCAAAGAACAACTTGTAAATTGATACAAAAATTGAATGAGGCTAATCACGAAATCGAAATTTTCAAACAAAAATTTGTTGAACTGGAGAATAAAACGAAATAATATTGTTGTTATTGGTATTGAGAAAGAAGAAAATGAAAATCTTATCAACAAAGTTATTGATACTCTGAACAGAAATCTAGAGTCTAGAGTAAATGAAGAGCATATAAACGACATATATAGACTGGGGAAAGGATCCAGAGCCCCGATACTTGTTGAATTTATTCCAGCCCTTCAGAAAAAATCTTTATTCAGCAACAAGGAGAAACTCAAACAACTGAGGGAAAATAATATTTCAATTGCAGATGATTTATCGACAGCAAATAGAGAGACAATAAAGGTTTTGAGATATAATCAAAAAACCGCTCAATCGCAGCACCTGGATGCAAAAATAAGAGGCTTCAAACTCATCGAGAACGGGAAACCATACTCTATTGAAGAACTACAAAATAAAGAAAAATTGAAAGACGAGAAAGAGGTAGGTTCTTCGATTGAAGAAGGAATTGAGAATGAGGAAGAAACGTCCCGTCCGTTGGAAAATCTGAAAAGAAAAGAAAGAAGAGAAATCTCAAATACAGCCCCGTAAATACCAGAAAAAAAATAAGTAAATGAAATAAATTTCCAATTCATAATTAAATAATATATAGAAAAGATGGATACATACATTAGAGAATATGAAAACGAACCCATTTCTGCCAATATAATACGAGACCTTGATTGCTTCAGGGACATCGTTGACCCCGGTGAGTTGAAAATTATACATATGAACATACGTAGTGTTGCAAAAAATATACATTCCTTCTTAGTCTTTCTTGATAAACTTTCAGTTGATATAGATATAATAATAATACAGAAACACACCAGCTATCTGATCCCTACTTATACAGAATTCAAGGTTATCAATTGGTGTACAGTCATGGATCACTCAACAAAAATGACGGGATAATTATCTTTATGAAGGAGTCACTAAAAGTGACAACATGTAAACTACTGATTGGTGAAAATTATAATAAAACCCCTACACAAAGGTGAAAATAAATCATCTGTCTCTAATTACAGGCCCATTACACTAACCTCTAACTTATCGAAAATAATTGAAAAAATCATCAAGAAAGGATTATACTCTTAGTTAAAAAAATTCAATATTTTATCAGATCGTCAATACGGCTTTAGAGAGGGCAGATCTACAGAGAACGCTATTCTGAGAATGACGAAGATAATTTATGAATCGTTAGATAAAAAAATTCTTACTGTCATTATTTTTCTAGACCTGTCTAAAGCATTTGACACTGTCTCTCACAAAATACTACGCAATAAACTTAAACGATATGGAATAAGAGGAAATATTTATAACCTTCTTGAAAACTATTTATAGGGTAGAGAACAAAAAGTTCAAATTGAAGGAATTCTCAGTGAAACGTAAACAGTATCATATGCAGTACCTCAGGGAACTGTTCTCGGACCTCTTCTGTTCAGTATCTACATAAATAGTATGTTATTTCTAGACACTAGTGGTGAAATCATTAGCTTTGCTGATGATACTGCTGTGGTGTACAGAGCATCAACCTAGCAAGAACTCAAAGAGAAAGTAGAGAATGACTTTCCCAACATATCAAATTGGCTTGGAGGGAACAAATTAACATTGAACTGTGAGAAGACAACTAACCTTCCTTTCACGTCGTATGCTTGTGGTTTACCAGATTTTGGGCTTTTGAATGTAGGATTAGACTCTCAAATGAAGGAAGGTGACAAAATAAAGTAATTAGGAATCATTGTCGATCGACATATGAAGTGGAATATGCAAACAAAACAAATATCAAGAAAAATAAGAAGTTTTTTATCTAAATTCAAATATTTGAAGGATTTCTTGAACATCACCCAGTTGAAAACTGTTTATTCTTTCTTGATAGAGTCCTTTTTGGGCTGAGGCGGGGTCAATGATTGCTTCTTGAACCAAGTACAGGTTTTGCAGAGATGGGTTCTGAAAATTATGTATGGCAAAAAGCTGACATTTCCTTCTGACACACTATATAATGAATCTCAATGTAGAGATTTGAGACAAATATTTGTTAAAAAAATTTACTTCATGTCAAAGCTAATAAAATTCAACTCACCCCTCTTCTCTTCACCCTCTTCAACTTCAATATCAGAAGAGCGTGTTTACAAGAAAAATAGTTATCATAGGACTGAAACCACCAATGCTGAACAAAGTGGAGCCACGAAAGTAAAATACCTGGGAGTGACTTTCTTCTGCAGAAGAATAAAAGAATGTGCGGAAAAAACTGGAAGTTGAACCGAATAATGACACAATGGCTATATGGTAGTTATACCCATAATAACATATAGTGCCACAACATGGTGGACAAGAACAAAGCAATCGGAGACGATTAAGCTACTAAGTGGCATCCACACGTTGGCATGTTTGAGTGTCACGCAAGCCACTTCAACGACCCCAACTTGAGATTTCGGTGTTCTTCTTGGCCTTCCACCACTATATCATCACTCGTATATTCAAAGAGGAGCCCGAATGTTGAAACACAGCCAATCAGTCAGTCGCAAGGGAAAGAAAACCTAAAACTGTACAACGAAATGACAGATGTCAAAGAAGTAAAGAAATAAGCTCTCAAAAAAGGAATAACTGCGTATATATTCGAATTTTTATCCATTTCTGAAGACGGAGGCAGATTTTGGCCTCCGAAACGTAAAAGATTGTGGAAGGTAACAATTACCCAAAAAAAGGTCGATAAAAAACAGAAATTAATATACTTTAATGTTTATCGTAGTTTATCTGTGTAATTCATGATTCGTTTATTTTGTGGAAATTCATGATCACTTCAATGGAATGAATGAAAACTCTTTTGTTTAATTTTATTTTTACGACTGGTTTTGGGTTTCATTCCAATATCAAGTATCAAACTAACAAATATATTTGAAATCTGAAAACAAGGTTTTATGAGGAATTTGTAGGTAAGCTGGAAGGAAAGGTAGTCAAATGAACAATGGTGCCAAATATAAAATTCAACTGTGGAGATTATAGAAATTACCGGGATTGTTAAACTTATGAATTCAAGAGTGGAGATTAACATAAATTGAGTTTAGAGGTATATATTTCAGGTTTTCAATTAATTTATTAATTTTCGTGAACAAGGGTGCCAACTATAAAATGCAACAGTCAAACTTATAAATTCAAGAGTGGAGACTAACATAAATCGAGTTGCTTGTTTAGGGATGTTTAATTGATATATTAATTTCCATGGCTTCCAACGAATTGATTTTTTTTCCTTTATCACATATGTGTAGGATTGTGAGATTATCTTTACTTACCTTGTGTTTTGATTCTTGTAGATGTAGATGTAGATTTTTTGTCCAAACAGACGTTTTCACGAAGTCTTGTGCCAAAATTTCTACCAGTATGGCCTGTATTTACTGCAGAGCATTCATCACACTTCATTCTACAGGGTATTCATCGAACATGTGGCAAATATTTAAGGGACTACCCTGAGGAAATTTCGTTTTTTGATGATTTTTGATGAGGCACTTTGTTTCGAAGATACGTAGCGGAAAAAAATTTCGACAATAACAATTCATCATCAAAAATTACATGTAATATTTCTGAATCTACAAGAACTGTCGAAAATGACTACCTCCCGCTCAGATACAAGAATCCAATCTTCTCCTCATCGACTCCCGAAGTCTTTCAAAAACACCAGGATCGTTTCTGATTGCGTTACACCCAGCAAATTGAATGTCTGCAGCCGATTGTAGTAATCGAAAAGTTGTTGATAGGTACCAACAAAATCGTTAGATTTTTTATTACTTGGTAGGCCCAGTATAATTTGCTATACTTTTATTTCGGCTACGTTAATAATTTTGAAATTACCATAATTGTTAATGTCGAAATTCTTTTTCGCTCCGTATCTTCGAAACAAAGCGCCCTATCGGAAATCATCAAAGCACAAAATATCCTGAGAATAGTCCAAGGAATACTCCCTCAATTTTTTGCCGAATGTTAAATAAACACCCTGTTTATATATATAGCTGGTTTTTTTCATTCTATATCGTTTGGATTTTGCGTAGAATAGAATTCAGGTATGAAACTCGAAAACAAGTGTAACAAGTACGGTTCCTTAAAAGCAAATAAAGTATCTCGTCTTGATTTGGATAACCTCGATTGATAATATCACATGTTGTTAGGAAGTTTTAGTTTATTCAGTTTATACCTCAAGACAATCTCCTAATCTCTACTGGAAAACACTTCAAGTCCCTTGTGGAAATGTAAAAGAATTTCTGGTCACTATTGTTTTTTTAGGTTCTGAAACCAATGAATTGGTAATAGAAATCACTGGAAAAGATGGGAAAAATGTTTATGCCAACTACAAAACATTTAAAATTGATGGAGAAGATAATGGATATCGACTCTCTGAACTGAAACATTTCGTCGGTAGTGCTGGAGACTCCCTATCTTTTCACCTGGGGAGCAAATTCAGTACCAAAGATATCTTTTTTCCCGAAGGAAACTATAATTGGCCGAAGAAGTGTAGTGAGTATCAATGATATTGAAGTATTTCGCAGCGAATACAGTCTAATCTAGACGATAATACTAATTTTGTTTATTCAACAGAGCAATAATGAAATAATACCGCGAATCCGATCATTCACATATTGAACAGATAACCATTTCAAACCTCATATCAGGTTGTATGTAGTTCAGCTAAAAGACATAAATATTTTTCAAAAAAAACATTGAAGTGAAATATATTACTCACGAACTGTGTTGAGAGAATTCATTGTGTGAATATATGCATATGTATAACATATTTCTGAATATTTTCACTGAGATATTTTTTGTTATTGCTCTTAGAATTGAAATGTTTCTATATTATGCAGGAACACTAGAACATACATTATTTTGAGTGGACACTACTATTGTAGGTACAATAAATAGTTCAGAGGTGAGAAATGTCCTAAATAATTTTCAAACACCTAAATTCGAATAACATGTACTTACATATTTTGGTAACTTCATACTCACCTACCACAGATACTTCATAGTCTTCGTGATATTTCGTTGCTCCTGATAATTTCTTTTGTTTTGTACATATTGTAACCACACTTGAGACATATTCAGTTGAATTCATCTCAAAAACTCATCGATAGAGTTAATTGTAGGATTTTCACCATAAAAAGTTTTACAAAAACCGCGTATAATGATAAATTACTTCTGAATTACAACTATTTTATACTTGAATTGGAGGGGTTATATTTTTAGGATACAAAAAAAAAAGATGAAGGAATCTTCCAAAGAAAGGAAGGAAGTAATCAATTTGAAAATAAGTAACATGGATGTGTAGATCATGCAAAGAAGTAACTTCCAGACACCAACTGAAAGAAAATCCTCCTGAAACATCTACTTTCATATAAACATTGAATTACACGAAAGAAAAAAAAATCTTTCGAAACAAATACTTCTATATGAACACTGAATTATACAGAACATTCGTTGTGGAATAAAATCAGATATCATTCACATGCGTTCTACTTTGAATGAATGGTAACAAATTGCACTGGTATACATCGATGTTTCGCCGTAAGACACTTGCCCTAAGGCTCTTCAGTACCAAATTGGATAACATTATAGAAAATACACACAATTCATTCAGGTATTTCGATTTTTGATGTCAGGGAATAAGCTTGATCTGCTTATGTCATCGATGAAATCGTATTGACATTCATTCACCTATTTGATTTATTCCCAGCCAAGAGGAATCTTATTTGAATTGAAGGGGTTATATTTTTAGGAGTGATTAATTTTTGGGAAAGGAAGTTCTTGGCTTTCTACTACTCCATTTTGATAAAAAAAAAAGATGAGGGAGTCTTCCAAAGAAAGGAAGAAAGTAATCAATTTGAAAATGAGTAACTCTATACATGGATGTGTAGATCATGCAAAGAAGTACAAATAGTACAAAATACACACATCGGAAAAGTCTAGGGACATTTTTATAACATACTAAATATTATAATATGGGTTGAACAAAGCCTGCAAAAACGGTAACTAATCTTTTNAAAAAAATTATTGCCATTTTTAAAAATATCCCTAGACTTTTTCGATGTGTGTAGTTGCAATTCAGAAGTAACTTATTATTTTACACTCGAGAAAGATGTTCTGTAGCGAAACACGTGTCGCAGTTTTTGTAAAACCTAGTGAAAATTATACAATAAACTGTATTAATGAGTTTTGATATGGATTTTCATCAAGTATAGGCCAGTTCTATTCAATTATTGAATTCATCTTACCTAATCATATAAAATTTAACAACTGGAAAAAAATTCTTCAAAGGTATAGATGAATGTGTCATATTTCTGATGGACAAAAATATGTGCCAACGTACCAAGTTTCTTCCATATTTATAATTTTTCTAAATTGTTGGTGGAGTTATTTGGAGAATCAAATAAATCTAATATATCAGCAACGTCTTGCTAAAAATGTACGAACTGTTCACGATAGATCTCAGAACTGTTTGAAGAAAGGGTTTGCGCCTTTTCGGCTTCACCAGAAGAAATATCGAAGACAATTTATAGAAGACAATTCTGGAAGAAATGGAGATGTTTTGGTAGGTTTCCGAGTTTTGACGTATCAACTGAAACAGTTTCATACGTCAAGAAAGTACTTCAAGCACGCTACTGGAGGTGACAGCCGCAGTTGCAGTTGAATCGTTTGGAGATTGTAACCAAAGAAAGCCACGGCGAAACCCGGAAACCAACCAAAGCATTGACGCCAGCCGTGAAAGCCTACATTCTTATAGAAATAAAAATGCTACTAAAGTCAAATGAGCGAATAAACTAGAGTTATTGGGTGACTCTTCAATTTTTTGGCGAAGGTGCAAATTCTTTCATAATGCCATGATTTTTTCTATATGCTTTGCTCCCAACGAAAACGATTTTCATGGATGGTTTGGAAGTTCATAATCTTGATAAGACTTCTGGTATAAAGGTGGAAATAACGGATCTATAGTTATAGGCATTTGAAGTTTGAAGGCATCATTTCCCGAAAATGAACAATCTTACCTATATTATTTCAATTGCCATAATTTTATTTAGAGAACAATATCGAAAATTTTTGCGAAAATAATTTCTGATATACAATTACTTACATGAAATAGAAATAGTGACATATAGTATGGTTCAATTAAGTAACCTAGAAATAATTTTATGTTTTCGATGTTCTTTCGAAATTTGGCTACCAAAAGTTAATGCGTATGCAATAATTACATTCGATTCATTGGTTTCATAAACTACACCTTAGGATTTGATCCCCACAAACTTTATCTGAAAAATATTTCACGACACGTTTCGCTAACACAGTAGCTTCTTCAACAGAAATCACTGTTGAAGTACGAGAGTGGAAATAAGTGAACATAATACCATTATGAATAACGATTGTGGGCCAATACCTAATAGTATACTCTATTATTTGTTAAAATAATATTTCAATTATTAGATTCCCCTGACTGTAACATAAGGAAACATTGAAACATTAATTTAAGACTAGTAGATAATGCAATATTGTAAAATTATTTTAAGACACTCAAGACGCAGGTATCTAGAAGAGGTACCAATGGAATAAATAAGGATAACTTTGTAAATGGGATTAGTTTGATCTTCCTTTCGAAGATGTTCACTTGGTGATTGAAACACCTGTCTCGGTATTAAAATAACGGTTTGGTGTTGGTAATATTCATTACCACATCAAAGGTTCCAAACAGTGCATCACAAGAACGTAACGTAAGTCGATCAACTCCGCCAGCCGAAAAAATGTTTGCTCGCGATCCGATGAAGTCTACTAAAGCCGTGTTTGCTTGGTCTGATTTTCGGAGGTCCTACTGGTGAGAAAGTTATCGAAGTGCTCTTTTCGTTAGATTTTCGGACGATGATTTGTGCGTTGTTGTGAGGCGGATACGGACTTTTTCTGTTAAATAGTGCCAGGCTGCTGCTAACTGAATATTCTGTACATTTCGTCATTTTCCTCACAATAGGACTCTGCTGTGATGTTTCGGCCCGGTTACAGAAAGTTATAATGAATCACACCAGCCGCGATCCACCGTACAATAATAATGATCATTTTTGGTGGGTTTTCGCCTTTGGGAAGTGCCTGGGTGGCACATCGGTGTCCAACCACTGTGCTGAACATCTCCTGTTGTCGTAGATGATCCACTTTTCATCACACGTGACGATCCGATCAAAAAAAAAGATGGTTTGTGTTGCGTTTTTTGAGCTATTTGACGTTTTCAATGCGTTTTAAACCATCAAAAACCGCATGGTAGATAACTCCCACTTTTTCCGCCATCTCACGTACCGTTTGTGATTCCTCAGATTCCTTAAATTCTCGTCCTGGATTACCAGGATTACCAGAATGAAATTTCGCAAACCGATTCATTGTCAAGTGTCTGATTGATTTTTCGGTCTATCTTGTAAACGATTTGGTTCAAAATAATCAACAGCATAGCAATGTATGGAATACAAAATTCTCTATCGATAAGTATACACTACGACACATTAGAATGAATATTCATTGAGATATGGAGCTACAAAAACACATGACATTAAAACAGACAAAACTTTTGAAACAATCTGATATTATTATCCGGAAGAATTTTTTTCTGGAGGACTGAATACTTTTCATGTTTTTGTGGGTATATAACCTTCCACACCCTGGATAATGAACAAAGTTAAATCAGTAGAGAATATGCTGAATTTAATAAAGGGCAAAGTTCACTCCAAAATGTTACATCGTAATGTAAACCACTGAAAAGTCCAATTAGTCAGTAACTTGTCGTATTCATAAATTTTGCCAAAAAAATTCAAAGAAACAATTGAAAAAAATTAAATATTTATACCTAGCTTTTTTTAGTGGTCGACGTTTCGAAAAACAACCTCTTTTCAATTTCAAAACCTGAAATCCACTCCAATACCTGTAATTTACTTTAAAATTTTCGCCTCCATTTGTATATAGCTATAATTCTTTTGGCATACATCAGAATTTGTCATGCACTGTTTGGAACCTTTGGTGCAGTAATGAATATTACTGGCGTAATTCCAACAACAAACCCTTATTTTCAACACATCGATACATGTTTCAATCACAAAGTGCTCATATTCATGAGGAAGATTAAAAATTTGAACATGATCACTTGGTGATTGAAACACGTCTCGAAGTGTTGAAAATAACGGTTTGGTGTTGGAATTAAACTCCAGAAATATTCATACATCAGGTTGATAAAATGTCCAGATGTAGGAGATTATATGCCAAAAAAACTGTAAGAAACCCAATAATTAATCTTCCTGAAATAGTGGAATGAGTTGTGAGTTTAGTATTGATGTCATGAGCAAACAAGTGAACACAGGTTACTATGCTATATTGTAATTGAAAAATAGGTTCAATACCAATCGACTCATCAATGTATATTATGCTCAAATCTACCCCATATATTATATAAGATCAACATATATAGATGCCCCAGTAACTCATAAAGAATTATTGGACTTATTTTCAGCCTAAAACCAAAAGAATCATGTCGAACACATTTTCAAAGATATAAAATTTCAACACTTCTATGTATTTCCTAATGTATAATGTGCAACATATTGTCATGTGCAACATATTGATATGTGCAACATATTAACATGTATCAAAAAGTTTTTCAGCGCCATGATGACCCCACCACAAATGGATACCTCACCAGAATTCCTGCACATATCTCCTCACCATTTCATGGAAAAAGTCTTTCATATACAGTGTGACACACTTAATAATAAATCACCTCTGTATTTTGGTCATTTTTGATAGCAGATAATTCATTTTTGGTACAGGCATAGACCTTTAATGGCCGCAATACCTAGCCCGAGTGAGAGCCAAAAGAGCAAATTCTTGATACCGAAATGAGTTATTCGAAAAAGTTGCTTAGAAATCGATTTTGGCCCTATATACCAAATTTCAACGCAATATTCAAATTTTGATTTATTTTCGATTTTCATATTCAAGTCCGATTTTCAATTAATGGTTTTGAATAAGAAGCTACGAAATTAATGAATTTGGTAGGAATAACCTAATATTTATTATAAATACATTCATTTCATTGAGTTTGACTATTTTATCATTTCTGTACCTTCTTATCGAAACCATCAATTGAAAATTGGACATGAATATGAAAATAACAAAAAAAACAAATTTCCAATTTTGGATTGGATTTTCGAAATCAATCATTGGGCAACTTTTTCGGTAGGTTTCTCCAACGCGAAACAAAATAATTATAATTGAGAATTTGCCGTTTTCGCGGAATCGCAGTAGGCTGGGTTTTGGGCTGTCACTTGGACTGTCACCGAAACTCAAATCTCCGCTTTCAAAAATGACCTAAATACAGGAGTGTCTTCATCTCATGTGTGTCACACTTCATATCAANTGATATTTCCATCTTTTGATTGTTAATATGTGTACCATCTCATTGGTACTGATTTGTTCTACAAAAATGATTGATGTAGATGGTATCCATTTTCAATAAACTTGCAATTAAAGGTTGATAATGCTTTCAAGGGAAAAATCATTGAAACTTAGGTCACTGAATTCCTGAATGAAATTATCTTTCTACCTGAAATTATATGATCACTAAACCGTCTAATATTGTTCTCTTCTAGAGGGTGGTTGGTGGTATAATGATGGCTTCCATAGTAGCTTGAACGGTGCTTTCCTGAATAACACTTTCATTCCTGAGAAACATGAAGGGCTATACTGGAAAACATTCGAAGATAATCAATATGTATATCCCAAAACGAGGATGATGGTCCGGCCTGCCAATGACTTCTGGTACGAGCAAAGAAAACTAAGATTGGGAGATATAACTAAATCATTTGAACATTAACATAGAATAAAAACTTCAAGAATGTCTTTCTGATGTATTTTTCGAGGCTCTCCTACTGGCTGCATCGAATTTAATATGTATATAGTCCAATGCAGATTTGAAATCAAACTGTATACAACTGTATTCCACAAATAAACATTTTTCAGGCCTACACATTCTTTTTATCAGTTTTGTTTCAGATTTGAATATACCGTGTGGGTAAATTTCAATTAGGTGTAGCGGAACATGATGAAAACGACGAGATTTAGAGGCACAACTGAGCTACTCTTCTTATTTTCAGAAACATATGAAAAAAAAACAGTTATTTGTTTTTCCGTCGAGTTTGCTTTATGTTTCAGTTAATGACCGGGAAATTTGACTTTTTCGTCACCAGAACAAAAATATTGTCTCATTGCTTGCGTTCTGCTAAGTAAACATCATCTGGGAATGACAGGACTACTTTTGACGGCTATGATAATGTTTTCATACGCATTTGATACATGAATTATGACCTTGCATAATGAGGATCAATTCTGTTTGAAAATCTGTTCAAAATCTGTTTTTCCGTTAATTAGCTGTCGACCCCATACGAACGACAACTCTTAGAAGTTGAGAAACGTGTGCGAACTAAGGACTAACGAGGTCTTACCTTTTAACGTGTGATTCCTTTGTGTGATTTAACGGAAAACAGATTTTAAACAGATTTTAATAATACCCACGCAATCCATGACTACAGTTGTTCATGAGAATGATGTCTCAACAACCACCGTCAAGAAAAACCACCCCTTTGAACTGAAGATATTATATTGATTAAATGGAGATGACTCTGACAGAAAAATACAGTTTTGTTAATTAGTGTTCGAACGTCGATTGAAAATCGACACTGTCCATGAATTCTTTGTTTTTGTGACGATTGTACTTTTTCTTCGATAGGAAATATCTACTGCCAATATGTATTGGTCAGACATAAATACACTCAAACTTCTGCGAAAACAAATGTCTGGGCAGAATACTGGAAAATATCATGATTTTGGTCCCGAATCTCTATAGGAGGATCTGACTAATGATTTACATTTGGAAACTTTTCAATACCTCATTTACCCATGGGATTCGAGAATATGTTGCCAACAATCAAGATGACTTTGAAAAATTAACTTGTTTTCAAACAACATTTTGCGCCACCACATTTTTTTAGACCTGTAAGGGATTGGTTGGATCAGACACATCCAGGCATGTGGATTGGTAGGCGCGTCGGAATGGCTTGCGTTACATTGCTAGCATTAATCCAGGAATATTCCAAAATGTTAAAAATGAGTTCTAAAATAGATATTCACCGTCAGGTGATTCGAAAAGAATTTCATGAAAATTTGCTCAAATGATGAATAACAAAGTGAAAATACTCGCTTCATGACCTCGAAATTACTAATTCATTTCTCTTTCCAATGATTATTCATTCCAAATCATTTGACATAGAGTGGCGGAGTTACAAAATCCCTAGTCCCAAATTGAAATATCATAACATCAATAACTCCGCAACCAGTTGTCGGAACTCAAAAAGAACATTTCATACAAAATACCACTATACTACTCAAAATACAAAATACTACTCTTTTCAAGTGGCAAATAGGGTCACACTATTGGCTATTTCATTAAAGAGTACTTGAAATGATTCCTTTTCACAAATATTTTGTCCGACTCTGGCCCCGTTCTGAAGTTAAAAGAGAGAAAACTATTTACATCCACATTGTATATATACCAGCACTTCGAAACAAATGACGTGAATGAATAATATTTCTCTTGAAGTTCAAGTAGCACTTTTGCCATACATCAGAGTATTATTTTGACTCCAATAAAAAAAAACGCAAATATTTTTAAAATATTCCAATAATAATTATAACAACAATGATAATTTGCATTTTTCAGTGGACGAATGATTTGTTTAGGAATCGTTATAAAATTAGCGTCCAGTCAATTACATTCAAAACACAACTAGTATGCGAGACCTAAATGTATACCTATATGCACAAGCTGGCAACAGTGCTACATTTTTTCTCCTTAAGCATTTTTTGCATGAATTAAGATTGTTGCGACCCATTATTTTCCGTTAATCATCATAATCCTATCATCAAACTTCTCATATCAATTAATATCATATGACAATCGGCAGTTATATTACGTGAGTACATCACTAAGTGAATAAGTAAATAACTTTATAAGGTTTGGAAGTTCTTCGAGTTTTTTGTTGAAACCAGACACTACATTACAATGTATTAACTTTTTTCATGTATTCCCAATCTTTCCACAACAAACCTGTTCAACAATCATTGCGTGTTATTTCAACATTGAAAGTTCCAAAGGCAAATGTTTGCTACGAATTTCACAATGAATATTCAAAGAAAAAACTCACCGATAAGAAGATACACAGGTTCTTTTTTTCACTAATAGACATTACTGTTCACAATCACATTTCACAATA